GAAGCCCTGAGAGATGGCAGCTCCACTCCAGAGAGGCTCTGAAATTATGAATTGATCTGAACGTGAGCTGACTGCTCCGGAGCAGAGGCGCTGCATGCCCTTTGACTTTTTCAATCATGACTTTGCTTAGCTTGTCATTTCACTGTTCCTCCCACCCCCAGAGCCTTTAGACAGAAGCCTGGGATATCCCTGCTGCCCAGGAGGATGAGCACCTATTTGCCGACACGGTTGCAAGCATGCAAAGAGGATGCTCCTCCATCAGTGCTGCATCAAACAGCTGGTTTGTTACACCAGAAACACTCCTCTCCTTTTTTGAGATCCAGTTAAGAGGTTTGAGGATGCTCAGTTGCAAAGCAGGCACAAATAAAGGATGAGCAATACTGGGATCAAGGAGGGCCAGTCACGCTGGAGGCTTGGTCATGCAGCAGGTCTTCTGGCCTGTCTTCTGGAAAGAGAAGAGAGGGGATTTATTCCTTTCACTTTATCAAGTGATGCAGCTACAAACATGTTTTCATTGTCTCAGCGTCTCTGAAAGATGTGAAAAATAATAACAAACAGCAGCTAAAGAATAGCTTGCAGGTGCTCTAGCGGTCTGGTTCACCCCATCCTTTTTGGTGGTGGTGCTGAGGCTGGTGTTCTCCGTGTTAGCAGTGAATTCAGTGACGCTCGTGTTCTCTCCCAGATGTCCGCAGAGCGCCTTTCCAGGCAGCAGGGGATGTTTCTTCAGTTTTCCCATCTGACCGCTCCTGTCTGGTGTTTTGGTTGAAAGCACGTCACTGCCAACAGAGGACAACCCTTGCACTGTCCCCTGGAGCTCCTTGAGCCATTCGAGTCGCTAGTCTGGCAGAACATTAACCCTGAGAAAACACCAAGAGAAACCATTTGGACAATTTTCTGTGGTCTTGGAGAGCTGAATCAACCTGCAGAGGGTCTGACGAGCTGCCAGAGCTGGGCATTGTGAGCGGGGTGTGTAGGAGGGGAGGTGGACACAGAAGTGAGACCAGCCTGTGAGAGCAGCAGTAAGTCAGTAGATGAGGCCAGCTGCAGTGAAATCACAGCCTAAAATTCCCCTCCCGACTTACATTTGCAGTGTTTTTAATTGATACCATTTTAAATCAAATCAGTAACTCTGTGACTTTTATGTTTTTGCAGATCTTGGTATTGTTTGTGTTTGTCTTCACCAGCTTCTGTGCTTTCCTAAAGACTCAGGACACAAACCCCAAGGCAGAGGCCACGGCAGGATTTTTACAAGGCCAGGACTGCTTTCAGACTGTCAGTATCTTCACTGCTCAGCAAAACAAACCCCAAACACAGTGCCATAGCATGCGATTTTCCACAAAGGGGTAGGAGGGGAATTTTCCTGCACCGTGGCGTGAAGACAGAACAGATCTGTTGGCCAATACAAAAAACAGCAAAATCTCTTGCACAGGTGAACTTTGTCCTGACACAGGAGGGGACAACACGCCAAGTGAGACTCACCTCTGGATCTGATTAGCTTCTGGACATCTAGGATCCATCAGGCTATCAGTCTCCTCCAATGTCATGCTCTGAACAGTGCTGTTCATTCACTGCGTTAAATTCTGCCTACCCAGAAACAGACACGCACCTTGCCTCTTGTCTGAAACTAACCCAACCTCTCCTTGCCACTGTGGGGACATAAACAGAGCTCTGGAGTGGCTGAGATGTAAATCTGAAAGGTGGGATCCAACACGGTGTCCCTAGCCCGCAAACAGACATGGTCTGCAACCACAGGAGTGAGGAAATGGGAAACAGGTTGAGGTCATCTCGGCGTGACGCACGGTGGGACACTGGTGCACGGGGCTGTCCAGCTCTTCGTTCACCTGGCCGATTAACATCGGGATGCCTGGAGCTGCCAGAGCTGGAGATGGGGCGGAAGTTTTCCCCACACCCCTGGTCCCAGTGCAGGAGGTTGTTCGCAGGTATTCCTACTGCTCCTGATCAGGGGTGCTGGAGCTGCCGCTGTGCTAGTAGGTTTTTCTTCTCTTCAGTGTCCTGGTTTTAGCCTGGTTTATGCTGGCTGACTTCTGCCATCTCTCTACTATCCTCCAGCCTGTCCCACAGCCTTTCCCACATTGCCTAGACTGATCTTCCTTTGAATTCTCCCATTGCTATCCCTACTGCAGGACCCATTATGCATGTTAAAAATGACCAAGACAAAAAAAACCACAAATCCTGATAGCTGGTCATCTTTTTTGCACAACACCCAACTAGACTGCAGGCATTTTGGGGAAGATGTGTGCCTGGGTGCATTTGTGCCAAGTTCGGCTCGACCAGTCCGTGTCCTGTGTTACGTCCCCTGGCCCCAGGCACCGGCAGCGTCCCCTGGCCACAGAGATGTCCCCTGGCAGGCAGGAGGTGGCAGCATTGCATAGCCCAGGAGATCCTGCTCCTCTGCATACCCATGCGTGGTCTACTTACCCGCCAGGAGCTGCAGACCTGTTTTTCCAGCTCCTCCAAGGATACGTGACTCAAGCCAAACGCTTCCAAACTGCTCAAATCCCATCCACAGCAACCATTAAAAACAACTAAACCCCAAAGGCCGCTAAGTGCACATCAGTCCTAAGCTGTCTGCAAATCACCATTCACAGCAATGTGAGGGCAACCGAGGACACAAGGGCTCTGCATTTAGAAATGAGTGTGATGTTGAAACATACCTCATTTGCCCTTGAAACTACAGCCCCCTTAACTAGTGTGTGATGTATCTGAGCTCCTCCGCACAAGATCCACATTCCCTTTGAGTGACAAGAGTGCAGATATTCTTGCTTGCACAAATGCTCCTTGACAGAACCGAGGTGGGAATGAGTTGGAGGCTAGCTTGCTGTCGAAGCATCGTTTTCATTCTGGTGCATCTGGCACAGTCCAGGCTGATTTTGAATCCTTTGCATTTGATTTTTGTTAGTGATGCAGAGAGACCTGTAGTAAAACCTTGGATCTAAGCTCCCTGAAACGCAAAAGGAACTTGGAGCCAATATTTGCAGTTCAGAGCATTGCTGGGTGCTAATCTTCCCTCTCCAGTCCTCCTGGTCTCTCACTATGGAGTCATCCTGTAGCTGACTGAGTCCACCACAGGAAGAAACACAGGCAAATCACAGACTTCCCTTGCTGCCTAACAGCCAGATGGACACAAGCCAGGACTTTTTTGCACTTGTGCAGACAGAAAGTGTTTGTACCACAGTGCCTTTACCAAGCTAGAAAGCAACATGGCGAGTGCAATAAAAGCCTCTATCACTATGTGGACACTGTTCTGCTAAGAGGACTCCTCTACCTTAATATGAACAACTTCCTACTGATATAGCAGTGTCCTAACCTGGCCCTCTTAATCTCGCTTTTCTCCAATATAGTTAGCTATCCAAAAAAATCTGTGCATCAAACCTTTTATTATTGTCATGGCTTTGGGTGCACCAGGCAAGCTGGAAAGCAGTTTCTCTGACTGACCTCCTTAAAAGCAAACATCCTGAGTAGGCTTTCCTTCTACATGCATCAACTACATTACTGTAGGAGCTTTCTTTCTCCTGCAGACTGAATCATTTCCCAAATGTAGGCTTGCACAGCAGAAGACGCCACGCTGACAGGGAGTGATGATGAGTCACTGGGAATTCACAGTTTTGTGTTCCTGCAAAGGAAAAACTCACAGCGCCGAGCGAGGGGGCAACAGAGGAGAGCTTGGTTTTGACAGACAGCAAGAAACAGTTCCTGGAGCACAAGCTGCTGGGTCAAAGCGATCTGGGGAAGAAGAGGAGCCCAGTGTCACCACATGAAGGCAGGGGCTGCAGGGCCAAGAGTGTGGCTGTGGCGGGTGGCTCTGCCTGCGGCACAGTCCTTGTGAGGGGGCCGACAGCCCCCTTGTTCTTCTCCAGAATCCACATCTGGATTGAGAAACTCCCAGCAGAAATGCACGCGGCTCACGCGGGATGTGCAGTGCTGTGCACTGCAATCCAAGCAGGCCGAGGCCGAAGGTCGGAGGGATAAATCTGACACGGCAGGCGGAGCAGGGAGAGGCAATGAGGCAGACGTTATGTGTGCACATGAAGGGGGAAGGCGCCACCGAGCCCTCGGCTCAGCCCGACCACCTGCCAGATGCCAGAGGGCCCTGGTGCTGCAGGAGAACAGGCGGCAGGTTGTTGTCGGCTCATTTATATATAAAAGCAGCCCACTATCACACAGCAGACTCGGGTCTGGGATTTGATAAGAGCCTTGAAGCAGTGCCAGCAGCCCGGCCACAGCCCCGCGCAAAAGCAGGCGTGAAGCGTGCGTCACAGCAGTGACCGGCCCGGCCTTGCCTCCTGCTCCCTGACCCCAGGGCCCCCTCGCAGCCAGCAGGGCCGGGTGCCTCCCAGCCCAACTGGGGCAGTGCCCAGAGCAGACCCGGCCGAGGCCCGCAAGCCGCGGGGCTGGGACGCCTGGCCCTTTA